AAAAAAAAAAAGAAAGAAAGAAAGAAAGAAAAAAGAAAAGAAAAAAGTTACTAGAAGCCAGAGATTTGAGTGCAAGGAAACAGTGAAGACAAATTCATTTCTTTTACCAAATGTTTTCTGGTATTACCAGTATGAGTGACCTTTGTAGCAAATGCTTCTTTTTTTAATTTTCAGCAGCTCTTCTGATTAAGTGTCTACGTATGATAAGCTCTCTGAAGCTGTGGACAGTAGAGCTCTGCTGTCTACTGTACTGTTGCTATTTGCTTTTACTGTTATATAATTTGTAGGCACCTAGTTCGGCTCCTGTATTTTTACCTAGGAGAATGTCTACACATACATCTCATCTATGCAGAAATAAAGAGAAAAGCCAATTTCTATCATTTATTTCATCACATTTAGATACACTAAATTTTATTTGTCTTTTTCTCACAAAAATAGCATTATATTTTAAACATTATTATTATTATTGTTTGTTTTAGAGGTTTTGGCCAGAGGGTGTGTATGCTCACAGTGCGAGAGAGCAAGAGACAGAGACAGTGAGAGGGAAAGTGAGAAATCACTTCCTAGAGGGCATGGTCAGATCACAATCCCTTCTCCTCCATTCTCCTCCTGGGTTCTTGGGCGTGCACATACACAGACACCCAACATGATTTTGAATCCACCAGGTCTGGGACTCGAACCATGGTCGGCCATGTGGGAGTCCAACAACATAACCACACCATCTCCTGGCCCAATATTATTATTTTAATTGACTAAAATTAGCAAAGGCTTTTAGAGGTCTCCTCAGTTTGTTTGCAGGCAAATTGCCACTGCAGGTTACCATAGAAATGGTAACTCAGTTGTACATCTGTATGAAAATGATGATTTTTTTTTCAAAGTTGATATTTTAAATGTTTTTAAAAGTATATGAGAAGGGAACCAGCAGTTAGCGTAATGGCTATGTCGCTGGACTCCCACGTAGTCGACCGCGGTTCGCGTCCCGGACCCGGTAGCTTAAAACTCACGCCGGGCGCGTGTGCGTGCGTGCCCAAGATCCTGGGAGGAGAATGGAGGAGAAGGGATTGCGGTGTGACCACCCCCCCTGGGGGGCGATTTCTCGCTTTCTGTCTCTATGTCTCTCTCTGTCTGTCTGGCGAGCGCACGCACCCTATAGTGAAAAAAAAAAAAAAACACTCAAAAAAAAAAAAGTATATGAGAAGAATATATATTTAACTACCTGTATTAGACTTCTGGAGTTAGATGGAACTTCAGAAAGTGCCTGTTTCCGTACACATCTTCATGAAATATACACAAGTTCTTCAAAAGTTTGAAGAAATGGAATTCAATTACAAGTTTATTGTGATGCAAAATTTTTGTGAAATCCATGCACGGTCTTCATAATATTCCTTTTTTTGTGACCTTTTTGAAGACCTTATATATATATATATATATATAAACCAACCCAAGTCCCGAAGATGTGTTCCATTTTATATACCTCAGAGATGAATCCATAATTACCTTTGGTTTTCAATTCCAGACCTGATAACCTTAGATATCAAATGAGTATAAGTTCTCCCTAATTTATTCTAAGATAACATTTTATTTATTGTCCTTAATGAAAGCTCATTTTCTTACTTTTTAAAAAACACATAAGAGAGCCTGAATGAGCTCCACCCAAATTCTTCCTTTCTTTGCCTTTGAAACAGAACTGGACACAGTTTTCTAGTGAAAAAAAAAAATCCAGCCTAGACCATGTCTTATGAATATTAGAGTTTGTGGCATCCAGTTTTTTCCACTTACTGTTAAGCAGAGACAATATGGTTATAATGACATGTCATGGACCTAATACCTGTTAAACATGAGTGCACTTTAAGAAGCCTGGAGTTAAGTGAAAATTTGGGTAAGTACATAGGAGTTTTGGCATCATTTAAAGGCTTGTTGTACATCTAAGAAGTGTGATCAGAAACATAACATAAAGTGATTTTCTTGGGGATATTTACTGAACTTCTTGTCCAGTCAAATTTTGGGGAGATTGACATTCTCTTTAACACTTGTAGCTATAAATATTCTTAAAAGTTGGGAATCAAGGGAACCAGCAGTTAGCGTAATGGCTGTGTCGCTGGGCTCCCACGTAGTCGACCGTGGTTCGTGTCCCGGACCCGGTGGCTTAAAACTCACGCCGGGCGCGTGTGCGTGCGTGCCCAAGATCCCGAGAGGAGAATGGAGGAGAAGGGATTGCGGCGTGACCATCCCCCCTGGGGGGTGATTTCTCGCTTTCTGTCTCTATGTCTCTCTCTGTCTGTCTGGCGAGCGCACACACCCTACAGTGAAAATCTCTCCAAAAAAAAAAAAAGTTGGGAATCAAAATGAAAAGATAAAATCATATTCCTTAGGATCCTAAAAATGAACTAATATAAAGACATATGAGGTAGATGAATTAGATATAACACTATCTCCTTTCAAACTTGATAGTAAGTCTAATCACTGCAGAGCACTGGGATTACCAGTTGCTTGGCCTGCTTGACTCACAAACTGAAAAAGATGCAAGTTCATTCCGCCTGCCATTCATACATTCTGTACATAGTATATGGTGAGTAAATGAGGTGTGCATTTCAGGATTCTGAAGCTAAGTTAACTAAAGGGGTTTTGAGGGCCCTGGATTTAGAATTCTGAGGTATTGTATGATCACTAGAAAATAATGCTGGATTCAGACTGAATTGTTAAGATGCAAAGAGCCTCCAGATAGTTCTGGTGATAATCTCCTTGTTGAAAAATAATGGGAGGTATTGCAGTGATGTGAACGTGGAGATTTATTTTCAGTGTTGGGGCATTCACACATACAAAATCTTTTTTTCATTGAAACTGTTTTACAAAAATGAATGATTATATAGTCAA